CGGCAAAATCGCCGAGCACTCGTAGTTCTATACAGGCTTCGAAATCCCAGAAAGCAGGCTGGCTGCATGAACGTTTTCATATTTCCCCCCATGCCTGAGATGTATAAGAGGCAGCTTCCCTTAGAAAGTCCTCCAAAAGGGCATCCCTCCCCTTCGGCAGATAGCTCGCTAGTGCTTTGCCCTACTTAAATAAACCAAACCCACGTACAATTCAGTTTATGCCTTCCAAGTAAGAATTTATTTCAGTGGACCCATTGAAACAACATCATTAAGGAGAACCTGAAAAGTGAGGTCATTTCTCGTACAGAGTAACCACTGTATTCCCCCGACCTTAATCCTATTCAAAACTTTTGGTATGCCCTCCTTGAGCGCGCTGTTCAGCTTGTTTAGCTCCTTCAGCCAATCTCAGGCATTTGGAAACTGCCCTAATGAAGGCATGGTCTTGCTAGCAACTGAGATGGTTGATAGTCCTCATTGCAAGCATAGGCAATCGCTGTAAAGTTCGTGTGGCAGTCTGGAATGGTCCAGACCTTATTAATGTAAGTTTTCTTTGTTTGTTTCTAGCGTTAGACGTGAATTTTTTTAATAACCCAAATAAGATGTCATCATATTATTTACGAAAGTAAATATTTTTTTCTTTTTATACCCAATGCTTGTTTCCTTTCATGCATAAACACCTTTGCTAACTTCATGTGCAACTTGGGGTTAATCAAAACTTTACTTTTCCATTTCTGTTGATTTTACCGTCGCGTGCTTAATTTTTGGAAGCTAGTGTACGACCAACCATTGTTTAATGTAAGCAGCAAAATATAAAATACGTCGGAGTTCGGGGAGCTGTGTGTGTGTAATTATGGCAAAGCCTCGAGGGCTATCTGCCTAAGAGAAGGGATGCCTTCGTGGAGGACTTTCTAAGGGAACTGGCTCGTATACACGTTACACATGGGGAAAACCACGAAAACGCCCATGCAGCCAGCCCGTTCGCGGGATTCGAACCTCGGACCGAACTACCAGTGTTCAGCGACTTTACCGCTCGGCCGCTGGAGGGCCTATCGGGGAGCTGAATTGATAGTTTATGATAATGGAGATCTGTCTCAATATAAGGCCTGCAAATCGTATCTGTTCTACCATATATCATATACGGTCTATTATATGAAATGTTTTATACGGCTCGCCTTTAACCAGCTTGAATTTTAACCTTTATGTGGTCGTGTAAACTTTTGGTATACAATGAGTACCTGCCGTCTGTGAGATGATGTTTTTATAAAACTCTAAAAAAATTAATTTTAACAGATATTTTTTGTAACTGGCCATAAATATTTATTCTTCAATACTGATGCATTAACAGATGTATAAGATTTATAAGCGTAACAGTATGAGAAATTACATCCAATCTATTAAGTGTTAGAATAATTTAAAGTTTAGAAATAAATAAAAAATTAATAAAATTTCTCAGGAAAACATCTCTAGAAATTATGGGAAACGTTGGGTACAGTATGCATTATAACTTTCCTCGCCACTAGCAGAAATTTTACATGACAAGGTGAGAATGTTATTTAACGACTGTCGGGCATTTTGAGGCTTTATTCTGTAGACTATCTGTGAGATTAAGCAACTGTTGATAAAGGCCATATTGTGATTGCCCAAATGCTAAGACGAGTAATTCTGAAAGGACAACGTTCTTCGGGTGTTCGCGAGCTCATATATTTGCACTTACGAATGCTAGGAGAATGACAATGAAATCAGTAGTAGATGCCGAGAAGTTGGACTTCAAATGCTTGAACAACGTTATGGGCAGCAACGGACTAATCCTGCTTTGGGAAAGCAAATAGACAGCTTCCTGTGGCTCAACAGATAGCTGAATGTAATGTAAGTTCAATTATAAATGAGTTCTGAGCACGCTTGTCATTGAACTCCGTTAAGATACGGGATTCTACAATATATACCTCTTTCATATGCCTGTGTTAATTAAGCATCTTCCATGTTTTTTTAAATACGCTGGGTATGTGAATATCGTGACTGGACCATAAAACAATGGGCCCACCAGCGGCCGAGCGGTAAAGTCGCTGAACATTGGTAGTTCGGTCCGAGGTTCGAATTTCGCGAACCGGCTGACTGCATGGGTGTTTTCGTGGTTTTCCCCATGTGTAACGTGTATGCGAGCCAGTTTTCCTTAGAAATTCCTCCACGATGTCATTCCTCCTCTTAGGCAGATAGCCCTAGTGTGCTTTGCCATAATTAAATACACCAACACCATAAAACAATGAAAAATATTTTCTTAGTCCGATGAAGCACGATTTTTTTTCGCATCACCTTGATGGCCGTGTCAATGTACCCCGCATTCCCGACGAGCATTTGACTAATACATGTACCAAGAAACGTAAACAGGCCTATGCGGAGTCTTTTTCTCTGGGGAACATTTTCATAGGCTTCCTTGGGACAGATGGTTTTGCAGAGCACCCCGTGACAGTTGCGTACTGTATGAACGACACTGCTAAATCAATAACACCCTTTCATGTTTTCTGTTTCCTCCACTAGAAATTGACTCTTTCCAACTGAGCACTTTTTTTGCCGGAATTGTCTACGGTGGTTAGGGAAAATGTGATTAATTACAATTGATGTCCTAGTGTCTTAACTCGCCGGATATTAATGCTGTGGGGTATATCTAGAATGTCATGAAGCGAGAGCTCAGTATTCCCCAACTCCTCCCTCATAATCTGCGAGAATTGCGTGATCTCTGCTCGCAAATTTGACATGAACTTCCTCCTGACACTTAGTGAGAACTTGTAAAATCTATGCTACATAGGATTGAAGCTGTTTTGCGTGATATCGTGGAGCATCACGGTATTAGGAGCGTGGCCATAATGGCTTGGCTGGTGAGTAAAATAGAATGCAGACGAAACTAGTAAAGATCTAAAATGACACAGACGTAAAACAGCAATCGTAATGCATGTTTCTTTCATACTTAATAAAAGATATTTATAGTTCATGTTCGCACTGTTACTAAAGCTGGAATGTTGATTTTACTGCCCTTCCAATAATTTTTTAAATTTTAAATAGTTTAATATTACTCTTTCTAATATATTTAGAATATGCTACGTATAAATGAATATTTTATTTCATAGGATCAGGTATATCTTTAATTGCATTATTTCCTACGCTTAAATATTAGCTGTTATATTTTCCTCATTTTTTGCACATTTTATTTCAAAATATATTTCGTCATTTCATTAACCTGAGATACCGTTATTTATTTATAATCGAAAATCATCAATGTTGTAGTGGTACAGATGGAAAAAAAAAGGATTATTGTGTTATTTGTAGCGTGGGGTTTGTTTCTTTCCCACATGTTTCTTTTGATCGACGCATAGATGACACTTTTTTATTTGTTTGTTTAATAACAAACTTTAATAAGAAATTCTTGATTATTATATAATATAGGTACAATCATTAATATATAAGTGCAGCTGTGTCCCCGCCGGACCAAAAAACAATCCCTGCATTATCAGGTTCAGTGTTCCTCCTTACTTGCTTGGGGAACATTAAATGACCTGACTCGGAACAGGGAGCTTACTAAAGCTATGTTCAATAAATGTGGGAAGTAGACAAGATACACAGGAAGGGTATACGAAACCCTTTATTTTCTCTCTTTACAATGATTTCCGGACTTCGGAATACAGAGACCAACCACTTGTGGTCTGAACGTAAGAATATAAAAATATTAACTAAATTCTAACTCTTTGGATTAATAAACAAGTGTCTACTTGAAGATTGGCCGTATATTAACAGAAAGGCCGTATGTAGTACAGAGAACTGTTAACACTACGATACGTTTAAAATTATCAAGAGGATTAAACCTCTGGCCTTGAAGGCAACCAGCAACCGAGTAAAACTGCTATGGCAAGCGGCCTGCTCCTAATCACTCCTTCCTCTCTCTTGCTTGGCAAAAAGCCACAACTTAAGTACTTGGCGTTCGCAAGAGAAATTTGCATAAATAAGTTAAAGCTTTTAATTCTGGCCGAAAGTAGAAAATAAGAAGTGATAGTAAAGATTTAAAATAAAATAAACGTTAGTAAAACTTAAGATCCTTACAGCATAATCCCCCAAAATTGGCGACGGTCCTCCAGCCAAAAAATCTGATCGTCTCCTCCGACATCTAGGGCGAAAAAGTCCCCTTGCCCCCATTGTCCTTTTCGTTCTTTCTATTTACTTTTTTTTAATTGCTTCCGTCCAGCAACCCAACCGGTACTTGCTAGTGATCGCTCCGTCGGACTAATTATTTCACTCGCCAGGCCTTTTCCTTCTCTTCATTCCTATGGGTACTACAATCAATTTTATTTCACCAACCATGAAACTAGATTTATGCTTTTTCAGTTCTTATCTAAATTTCTTATAAAAGCCTTTGGATTAATTTCATTGTTTGATAGTGCCGTAAACATCTGTTTACAAGCCTGAAACCATAAAAACAAACTGAAAGTATCTTCTAATGATAAATATATTGTTGTGATTTTGCACTTCAGTTTAGAGGAAAACATTAGTTAATGCTCATGCAATCAAAAACAGCTGCATTAACTTTGCGTTGGGCCTAACCAAAGTGAATAATTGAGAAAAACAATTTTATATAGCATTAATAATTTATTGTTCAAATTTCAAATGTGTAATTTTAAGGTCCATCTCTACTGTTTCTTCTTTTGTTTTGATGAGTATGAAAAATACTGTAATGAATTAGCACATAAACTTGTATTAAGAATAGATTTTGCTGTGCCTTTCTAGTACTTCTGAACTGATTGTAATGCTTTTGATAAAAGGGACAAACTCTGATTCAACATTGTCTGCAAAGATTTTGAATGTCCTTTCAAACAAGAAATACTAATCAATATCCTCATTCCTTTGAAATATTAAAGCTGATAGTACATACATGTTTTCTAAAATCCTAAACTTGTATCTAACTGTAGCTATAAAATACTTATGTAATAATAATAAAATGTGTGCTATTTTTCTAGGGCTTTTGCATCTCGAGTTTCATCCGAGAGAGAAAAAGAAGTTTTCAGTAGAGTTGGTAATCATACATTTTTTTTGCCAATCGGATCAAGGAACGAGGAGTCTACAAAAATGTTAAAACTACAAGACATCGATACGTGGGTAAGTATAAAATAAAGAATTATTTGATTCAATAGGATTCAAATCAAAACTATCTTATTCGTATAAATTAAATCACTGTAAAATTACTATGCAAAGTAAAAATATAATGCATTGTTAAAAACTTGGGGATCTTTTCAATTATGAGGCAGCACTAACTCGAGAGGTGACTTTCGATCACCACTCGGTTTGACGTGATAATTGGAGCAGTAATTATGTTTATTTAGGTTTAGTTTGGGCAATATTGTTTCATGAGCGTATTCAACAATACATGTGTGTAAATGAATTGCTAATTTTTAATCTTAAATAAGCTTTTTAGATTTATTATTACATATGCGTCTTCCACGTTAGTTCGAACTCGACAGTAGTGGCAATAAGAATATTATTTTCAAAGTTACAGAGCCCGATAAGCATGGAATATGATGAAGAAATCAGTTCAAGTGAAGAAGAGTTCGATTTTTCGTTGAAAAAAAAAAAACGAAATTACGTCTATTCATATACTACTTGACGATAGAGAGGAGAAAAACAGTGATGAAGACAGCGCTAAGTGAAGTGTAAGAAGGCGAAACATTAGGGTAACAGACAGTGAATGTGAAAGCGACAGTGATTCCGCAGAAGAGGCAGAAAATTCAGAATGGATAATGTACACAGAATCCGAAGAAATACCGGAATACTGTTTGTATCCTTCGAAAGAGACACAGAACCACAAGACATAAAAGAGCCATTAGACTTCTTTAAATTGTGTGTGAAATCATTTTAAATTACCTATAAAAATCAAAATATGAATATTAATTCATCAAATATGCGGAAAATCACGTGAAGTGGCTGGTTTGCACTAGCTAAAAAGGCCTTAAGTGCAGAGGGTTAACTGTGTTCTGCTTTTAACAGAGTTTCCGTTTTCAAAATAGGTACTATCAATAAAAAGTTTCAAACAATTATCATTTAAAAGTTTTAAAGTGTATCATTCCATTTCGTCATTTGGATACTGAAATAAGTAATTTAAGGGAAAGTTTTAAGTGCATAAAATGTAATACATTCAAAGACAGCTGATCAAAAAACATATTTTCTCACTTGAAGTATCAAGTTGGAGCATATATTATATTTAGCGCTACAAAAATTTACTTGATACGTGTTATCCTATAAAGCAGGGTTTCTTAAACTTTTTTCAGTCGCGACCCCTTTTGATCACTGAGATTCTTTCGCGACAGCTAGGACCCCGTAATTTTTACGAAAATTTTGTGGGAGCACATAAGCATTACGCAAATCCGACACACGCGTGCGTGAAACGGTCGATTTTTCCACTTGTACTGTAATATACTATTGCAGTTTTAGGTCATTAACTTTAATTTCTAATTTTAAGCCGTAGAACAATGTGAAAATTTTAAATAAGTAACAGACGAAATGACAGCGTCACGTGGAAAGCAAATAAAATGAACGTTTCTATTATAAAAAGAATGCGTTGAAACGTTTTCCTTTTTCCTTTGTCTGTATCGTCTTATCTTTATCTATTTTCAGACACATTTTGTAAAAATATTTGATAATTTCAAAATTATTATAATAAGTTAAAGAAATATCAAAACTGCTATATTTTTTGCTACTCCCTGCTGCAGGTCCCGCAACCCCCAAGGGGGTCGCGACCCACAGTTTAAGAAACGCTGCTATAAAGATCCAAAATTTGTTCAGTAACACTAAACATATTTGTATGTAGCAAATTAAAAAACAAATGTAGAGAATATCAAGTTTAGTGAGCCAAACATTAGAAATTTTAGGATATCAAATTGTGATATGTCTTAAAAATAAGGCTCATGTAACAAATTTTCAACAATAAAATATTTAAATAAAATTATTGTAAATTATTAGTAACATTAAAGATAGAACAGTTTTGTTACGAAACTATTTTATAAACTATATTTCGAATAATTCATGACCATTTCATATTATTTTGCTCCTTATCTTTGGAAGTAGATTACTATGAAAATCAAAGGCTTGATTTTAAAATCTATCAAATTTTGCTTGTCTTTTTTACACTAATTAAAATGTTTTAACAAACTTTCCTCGAGCTTTATTTCATTAAGTCTTAGATTTTGTAAATGACTAAAGTTGTGGTTTTTTGGAGATTTAAAACTCAGAAATGATAAAATATTTTATAAAATTATGAGTTTTAAAAATTCTTTTAAAATTTCGTATTTTAATGTATACATTTTGGTAGTATTAAAGTCACATGTGGCATATTGTAACTTTAGGTTGTGAGACATGCATAGCCATTTAATATTAATAATCAGTTTAGCCGAGTTTCAGTTCAATCTGCAAAGACTCAATAGTACCCAACTAAATGTAGAACTCTCAGGGGAACACGGCCTACCACCATCACTTCATTGGATGGGGTAAGTCCCGATCCAGATAAAAGGGGAAATTCTGATGTGCGGTTTAAGTAGCTAATATTAAGCAGCTCATGATTAATATTAATAGTTCAGTGGTGGATAAAGTGAATAATATGGAATTACCCGTGGTGCATGTTTAAGTAGACATTATTTGGATCTGATCAACAGCTCAGCTCAGTTGACAGATTTAGTGTATAGAAAGTAGAAGTTCTGGGCTTCATTACCAGTAGATCTTTAGTTGTCAGAAGTTTGTAATTATGTTATGAAATTATACAGCCTCGCTTAAACAGAAACTCTCTCTCTCTTTGTAATATGTATTATATTGTATTGTATTATTTTATGAATTATATATGTATATATATATATATAATTTAATAGAGAATAACATATATATAATATAATAGAGAATATATTATAATATAATATAATAGAGAATAATAATAATAAATATATAGAATATATATCTATAATAAGAATAATAATATATATAGAGAATATCATATATACAGAGAGAGAGAGAGTTTTCGTAAGCTGTATAATTTCATAATAAAGAATATAACGAAATTTGTAAAGAAAAACCCTAAAACTAAATTTGAAAATTTATTTACTTTATAAGTCCTTTCTAAATAAATTTTAAGGTTTTTCTTATTGTTCTTCTTAGAAATTATACACACATACACACACACACACGCGCATATATATATATATATATATATGCGCGTATATATATGCGCATATATATCTATATATATATATATATATATATCATATATATACATATATATATATACGCGCATATATATTCGTATCATTGTATTATTATTAATATCTATATATTTACACTATTAATCTTTAGTTTATATAGATACGCACACTACTCCTGGTCTTTAGAAATAAAACTTTAGATGCATCTTCTCCGCTTCTATCATTAGTATTGCTCTCTTCACTATTTTTATTGACATAATTTAGTAAACCTGACAAAGACCACATGCTCGCTTATATGCATGCAGACCTCAGAAAAGAAAAGTACTCAGTATTTTTGGATTTCTCCATCCGTTTATTGATTACTGCAAGTTTTGGGACATAAGCATCAATCATCCTACTCACCGATCGGCCAACCGCAGAATGAATACGTATGTATTGCAAATATGGAAACGACGCTTTACGAATCACCACTAAATACGTATGACTTAGCCGTTGATATATCTATAGCTATACTATACGCTTCATAACTGACAACTTCTTTAAAGCATTTTATATAGGGTAAGGTTGCTATCAATGGACCACTTAAACAAAATTATCCTTAAAATAATCAAATTCGGAAATTTTATAGTTTTGTACATGTTAATGTGAATATTACTTTTCATGCTACACATAACTAGGAAAAGCTGTTACAATTATGAATTGTTCAGTAATTATTAGAAAAATAAAAGTAAGTGCCACTGGCCCAATGAATGAAACCAGTCGCCTTCATTGGGCCGGTAGTTATTTTCTTCTTAATAAAGTGTCTTCTTAATATAAGTCAATAAAATATTTAAAACTATTTTGAGCACTATTCTCAAATTTAAAATACTGGTTAGAAACCAGCACAGGCCCTTGAAAATACATTGAAACACACTGAAAACATTTATAGCAAATAAAATGAGATCATTACCTAATTATGGATTTAATTATTCCTGATAGCTTTTTACTAAGTCAGATACAGTGAAGTTTTATTTTTCAACTCAAAAACGTTTCAAAACATTAACCTCGATATGGTTTCAATGGTTGAGCCACCAGCCCATCCATCGCAGAGCAGGCTGGTACATTGAAGGCAACTAGTAGTCGTTATGTAAATACGTTCGTGACTGCGGTTATAACAAGGTCAAGGTAAACAACCGTTGTTAGTGTAGCCAAATAACACCGACTTAACACAGTTTTAAATATTATCAGTAGCACCTAAAACACTATTAACGTCTCACAGATACCTATATTTTGTTTACATTGATAAATTAGAAGAACAATACAAAAGTCTCACATTCTTGTAAAGCAGCTTTGCTTGAGCGTGAATCAATTCACAGTCAAGATTGCGGTTTTCAAGCTTCATGTAGCACACTAAACAGTCAACACATAGCGCCTACTGTCAATAACTGCAAAATGATAAAGGTGGCTAAATAATGGAGCCGACCCATCTTTAGTAACCTTACGTTATGCCTTCTTGTACCTAATCACAGTATATTTCACTTTCGTTTTACCTGTATTTTTTCTTTCATCATAAAGCCGAGATTTTTTAATCTTCTTGCTCATCATCATTCTATCCCTATTTTTCCTTTGATAATGAAACTCAAATTTATCGTAAAGGAAAGAAATATATGTAAAATTATCTCTATAAAATCTATCTTACTCTGCATTTATATGATTATTCAATAACCTGTTATGAATATTCAATGATTTTTATTAAATTTCAACAGGATTATTTAAAATATGTTATCATATTCCTGTCTGAAAATATTTTCTAGGTAGTGAGAGGTCATGTAATAGCAAAGCATGTCCTTTTCTTACGTACAATGAGCAGAAAATCGTACAAATCTGAGACATGGGGGGACAACCTGAAAGTTGAACTGAAACTTACAAATGAAACAGATAGTAAGAACAGAGAAAAGTGTAAGTAAATGATTTTTTTCTTGACTAATTTCTCTCATACACTTTAAAAATCCTTGTTTCTTCACTATATTTTTGCAGTGTGTGTTGATGTCAGAAGTTTCCTTTTAACTGTGTAAGAAGAATATAAATTACTTTCTTTATTTCAGTTTAAGCATTTTACTAGTTTCCAAAAGAATTCAAGGGAAGTCGTTATATATTTATACCGAATTACTTTTTTTAACCTGGTAAATTTTTAACCTTTACTTAATAATTTATTGAACGTCCATAAGAATTTCAAATTTTTTAAGGGCTGCTATTTGAAGTAAACTACAACATATTTTGGATTCAAATTATTCATTCTAATAATGCATAATCATTTAAAAAAATTATTTATACGAAACTGTACTTTGAGGGAATATTTTTCCTTTGAGTTGTATTTAATGTTAAGTAAACGCAGACATCTTTTCTTGAATAGCATATCCTTTGCAGGGTACATTCAGAGTAATACCATCCAAGGTGATCAGAGTCACCGGAAAGGTGTTGTACGAGCTAGGATTGTGAGACCAAATATCCCAGTAAGCAACGGAGTTGTGCATTTGATTAGCAGACCTTTGATGGTTATAAACAACACAATCTGGGATCTTATTGAACAGGAGAAAGAAGGAAGATTAGGGTAAGTTTTGCCTATATTTTATCAACAACATCTGTTTTAATGTCCTTAGAGAAATCATTTTTAAACTTTATGGATTACGTTACCATATACTAAGTATCCTCCCGCTTTGGCACAGAATGCTTATGTGGAAAATGTTAAGACCCTCAGTTTATTTTCCACACAGACAGTTCCGAAAGCGTTGTCATTTCATAAAGCAAAAGATCTTCAATTTAGTTTTCGAATTTATTCAGTGCGTAGTTGCTTAACTAACAGGGCGATTCAAAACATACGTACATACATTTTTAATAATTTAAATGTAATTTTTTAATAATGTATCTAATAATTTGTATAAATTAAAATGCATTTAATTTATAATGTATTCAAATGATAATTTTTATGAACATTTGCAGAGCTACGACAATTAATACAAGATATTTCTGATACCATGTTTTAAGTACCTGGTACAGACTACTATGCTTTGAAACAACGCAAAGCGAAAACATCGTCATGCAAAACCTCGTAGAAGAAAAACAAAGCAAGGAAAAACATCGCAGTTACCGTGGTATGAAACATCATCATAGAAAATAAAGTGATTCAAAAACATCGTAGTAAAAAATAAAGCATCTGCAAATTATCGCACGACGATTTCATCGCAGACATATGTTTTTCCGGTTTTAAAAGATGTAAATAATAAATGAAAGAATGACTTTTACCTCTATATTTCATATTTTTGAATTAATTAATAATTTTATACTAGTAAAGAAAGAAGGAAACTTAAGCATTCAAAAAGTGTAAAGGAGTAAGAAATTAATCTTACACGTAACAGTTAATTGAATTTTACATTTATGTACTTAAGTATTAAAAGTTGTTATTTAATTAATGTCTTTTAGGAAGTTCTAGCAGTTTTTCATAAAAATATTGTCTCACAAAATTAGAAAAGGGAAGATGAATAACCGCGTGAGCTTATCTATATTAAAATTGTTCAATTAATTATTAAATTGTAAATTGTTTTCTTTCACTTTATTAATCTGATATTCTTTTAGTAAAAATTAATATTATTTTCCTTCAATTACTTAAATAACTTTCATATAAGTAAGTTCACTCAGTTACTCATCTTCTCTTTCCTAATATCTTTAGACTATATTTTTCAGGAAAAATTTACAGAACTTCATAAAAGGGACTAATTAAATTATCTTTTAATAGCTAAGTACATAAATTAAAAATTCTATTGATTGTATTAATGTAGTTAAATTTAAAATTCTGTTGCTTGGATTAATGTGTAGGATTAATTTTCTACTCCTTTTCAGTTTTGCCCACCAGTGGCCGAGCGGTAAAGACGCTGAACACTGGTAGTTCGGTTTGAGGTTCGAATCCCGCGAACGGGCTGGCTGCATGGGCGTTTTCGTGGTTTTCCCCATGTGTAACGTGTATACGAGCCAGTTTCCCTTAGAAAGTCCTCCACGAAAGGCATCCCTCCCTTTAGGCAGATGGCCCTTGTGTGCTTTGCCATAATTAAATATACCACACTACCATACCTTTTCAGTTTTTGAATGCTTAAGTTTTCTTCTTGCTTTTTTAGCAAAAAATTATTAATTAATCCAAAAATGTAAAATATATATGTAAAAATATTCCTCATTCTTTCTTGCGCTCATAAATAATTAATGAATATATATATTTACAACTTTTAAAACTTGAAAAACACACGTCTGCGATGTTGTCGTCTTCGGTAATTGTAGATTCTGACGTTGTTTTAAAATTACAATGTTTTTTAACCACTTTATTTTCGACGATAATGGTTTATATCACGATATTTTATAACTGCGAGGTTTTCTTTTCTCCCACAATGTTTTGTACAACGACGTTTTCGTCTTGTGTTGTTTTCTCCGAAATGTTTTCGTCCGTCATGTTTTTGCTGCGATTTTTTCGACGGACACCGTAAATTATTTGAGCCAGCTATTAGTTTAGTTATTTAACTTTGTAGTCTTAGAGTACGGATCAACGTTTAAATTTATTTGACTGTTATTATTTAATTTGCATCGCCACAAGTGGTGGTTTTCTGTAGCACGAGCCGTGTCCTGTTTTGTTAAAAGTTCAGTTTAATAAAAAGATTAAACCTTTGCAAGTCTCTGTTATACTATTTTCAAACATAGCTATATCTCTCTACCTGTTTAATAAGGTTGTAGGACTAAGGTTCCAGTATCAGACCAAGCATAACCTTATAAATATCTAAATATAAATTACGTAGCTATTTATAAAAGAAAACTATAATAATTCCTCCCAGTACATCCTTCTAATATTGTTAATTTTTACATTTACATTATCTTTATTCTTTTTTTTTTTGAGGGGGGGAGGGGCATCTGAGTTAAGATAGTCCACCAAAACACAATGATTACGTATTGTATGTTTTTATTACTAACTTTTATATATCATTTTAGTATTAGTATTTTTATGTTATAATATTTGAAACGCTAGGCAAAAATAAAAGCATTTAAAGATACTTTTAACCTATTTTCTGATGTTTTCAATTCTTTTTTAGGCTTACTTAATAAATAACATTGAAAAAATTCCTGTTAATTTATAAGTTGTGAAAGTATTTATTAGATGCTCTTTCTAAGTTAACCAAGCACATGTATGATGGGATTGTTCCGTATAGGTCATAGACTATTTCAATGACTTCTGAAAAAGATCTTTTTAACTAGCTGGTGTTTCCACAACTTATTTTAGTTTCCACGACTTATTTCAGTTTCCACAACTTATTTTAAGCCTTCTTTTTAACAGATAGTTTAATTTTTTAATTAATCTGTTTAATTTTTTCAGAGTCTATGAAGTAAACTTTAGTTCTCATCAAGATTTAATTTTCCTGAAATAAGTTTATGCATTATATGTAATCTAACCTTAATTCCTTCAAAATTTTCAAGGTATTTCGGAGACCGACAAATAAATATACAATTTTTGTTTGGGGTATTATAAAATAAAGAAAGTGATAAGACCTTAGTACCTATAATCATTTAACGAAATAAAGAAAACCGTTGACTCATGAATCTCAGAATTAAAACCGTTAACTAAAATTGTCACATTTAAACGAATGGGGAGAGTTTCAAGGAAATCTAATTGATCAATTGAATATGAATTAGATGGATCGTCAAATTTAGCATGAACACTATTGAAAACAGCAATTATTATAATTGCATAAAATTTATCATTTTCTACTTGATTCGCATTTTAATGTGAAATTCTAAGCTTGTATTCATTTAACTAGGTTATAAATAACCTCGCACTAGAAACATGTTTCTCTAAGGATTCAAACATGATTTCTCTACTAGCTGGACCATGAACTCCTGTTTAATCAAGAGCAGGATTTAATTTAAGCTGAAAAGCAAGCAGAAAATTAAATATTAAGTTTTTAAATTTCATTTACTACGTTTTATTAAAATTTCTAGAGAAGGAAGGCCGCTGAGTTTTAATGCTAAATAAGGAATTGAGTAGTAATGTCAATAAACTTTTAAGGGTTCATTCCTCACTACGCAACAGTTTTTACCAATTCGTGTGTGAATTGCTTCTGTATCTTATGGTATTAAATATCTGTTGCTCTATATTTACGGAATTCGTTAGAGTAGTCTTACACAAAACAAATAGACTTTAAAAAGACAGACCTCTGTTCTTGCCCCCGAAATACACTAAATACCTTTTTATTAAAATTAAAACCAAAATACTATTGTCCTTTGCCAAATATTAAACTTCAAGCTAGGGAACATTTCCTGCATCCTTTGTACTGCTCCTCCGTAAAACATATAACTCTTTCATTGCTTGTAAAATGTTTAAAATAAATGCCACTTCTGTACTATGTGTGCGATTGATTCTATTCTAACTGTCAACTTCTAGCTGTCAACAAGAAAGTTAGGCTACTTGCTATCCCTTTTTAAATGTCAGAGTAGGTTTGTAATTATGCTTTACGTTTAATCATCAGCCTGGCCGTAACGTAGCGTATGTAATAAGAGAAAATAATATCCACAGTTTGTGGGAAATCAGAACAAATGCCAAAGGAAAATTCAAATATTAAATTGCAAGGTAAAATGCGCTTCCGAGATTTCCTTCGGGACTTCAAAATGTCTCGGGCCATTATGGCTAGCAAAGCCAAAGTCAAAATACGTAATATAGTCGGTAGGAGAAATAATGTTAAGACGGTCGCGAATAACTGTCAAAAATTCTTTCTCAAGGAACATTAAACTAAATTTGCACTCTGGTGGGAGTCGACGAAACTGCAAGTAAAAGAAAAAAAAAAGAACATTGATTAATTAATATAAAATCTTACATGTGATGATCTCACAAACATATTTCTTAACATTCCTTTATAATTATGCTTAAAAACAGATAGAAGTTTTATAGCGAATGCGTTTATATTTTTATTCATTTTATCAACTGTAGCAATGCACATAAGGAATGACGTCTTGGAGCCATTTTAAGGGAAGCTGGCTGTTATTCAAATTACACATACAGAAAAACTACTATTGCGAATAAGGTATTAACATTTTAAGCGTGTTAAATGCATGAGTAATAGAAAACGTATGCTATTTAAGATCATAATTAGTAAGAACCTTATCAGTCTTTAAATACCTATATTGTACATATTATTTATAAGAAAAATGGTAGCACCGAATTTCTCTTTCTTTAGATGAATAAAATTTATAAATAAAGAAAATTCAAAGTATGTCTGAAAGTTTTTATTTAGTTTTAAATCAGAGGTTGCTGGATATATGTATGAAGCATGTCCTTAAGTAAATAAATAAATAATAGCTCCGAAAACAACTACTTGAACTGATTTAGAGTAGAAACAGATTTTCATACCAGATATAGATCGGTTAATTAGTTTCATCTTAATGTAAAGACTAAATCGCTGAATGTCTTTTTACATTCGTTATTCATATTATATGGCATACTTTTCAAAAATAATAATCGAATACATTTGTTATAGGGAATTCTACAATTTAGTTAGCGACAGTCCCAAATTTGCGTCACATCTCAAGAGCTCTGATCAAAAGACAGTTTTCGCTCCTACAAACGAAGCATTCAGAGCGTTAGATGGTGAGAAGTTCAATCATATTCGCAACAATGCATCTGCTAGAAATAACGTAAGTTTTTGCTTTTGTACGTTCACTAAGGAAATGAAATGCCATTTAACTGTATTTATCTGTGATAATATTAACCTCTAGAGCAAGAATAAGAATCGATTAAATCTGTAAAATGTGCAGTGGATATTCGCGAAAGGTTGCTATAGGATATATTTCCTTACCTATAGATTCTCGGTATGTGTTATTGTTGGTGTTGTGACTAATCTAGCTTGTCTGACTGCCCACGAAATTCATCGAGGCAAACAGGCAAAATAGCGCATGTCGTCAGCTAGAGCCTTGAACACTATACAGGTGACAGTAAGATTTTGTTCAGTTCCGTCCCCAATTTTGAAGGAGAGCACCTCGGGGAAGGGGACTGGTCCGAGGGCCTCCTATCTCCCCTTACACTACCATCAATCTCTCGAGAGGACTTTCGGCTCGCCGTTTATTTGAAGCGCCCCCATGCCTCACAGGCACTATATGTTTACAATCATCCATGCCTTCTCCAGAATTCACATATGGGTCCTTCAGTACGGCAGTCAAAGTTACTAACCACTTTCTCGGTTGTTCAGCTTTCGATATTTACTTCCAATTAGGTGGGGGAATACAAAGAGAACAGTCTAAGAGGTGGAATAGAATCGTTTTGAAAATAACAAAACTTTTTACGTTGTCCTTGCAAAGCGAATGCTCAGTCAGAAAAATTTTCGTTATATTTTAGTAAACTTTAATGAAGAAAGTTGCGTACTTATACGTGCAGTATTCATGTATATAGTTGAAAATAAATATGTTAACTCCTATGATTTTTCAACAGATATTTTCGACCGAATTTAAGTATTCCTTGAAGTTTTATCATTAAGCTCAAACAGTATCTATTAAACAGAGTTTGATGAAATCGTACTAGGCTAAGGTTATAATTCAGAACCTTTCTTCTCGCAATGTAAAATTCGCTAACCGTATTTACAGAAACGTTGTATTGAATGTACATACGCGAGATTATTAGTTAAAGAATTAAACTTTTCACTAACAGCCTGCATATTGAATATTTTGCATAGTTTTTTTGTTTTGCGAAAGAGCCAATTTAAAAAGAATATATCCGGAATATCATCTCTGCACGTAGAAACATAAGATTGTATATTGTTTATAATACTGTTCTGTCTGGTTTCTCCTTCACGGTGACTCTTGTTGTATCTTCATCGAAAGAGAACATAATAATAAGTGCAATACTTGACGGAAACTAGTATAGAAGTGGTACAGAGGCATCGTAGACTGGGATGGTACCATGTAAGGCCTACATGTTTTTGAAGGGAGAATCTTAGGATTTCCTGAATACCTAGATAAAACACTTATATAACAATATATTCAGTTTTCCCGATGGGCAAGGGTGCTGTAATTTCTTTCACACATGACAGTGCATAATGGATGAATCCTTGCTGCCCTTTTGGCATAGTGGTAAAGGAACCGGCTGCCATTAGCGTTTGAGGCACCTTCGAATCCCGGAGAAGGCATGGCTGTTTGTAAATGAGCAATGTTTTTATTGGATGGGGGTATGTAAAATACTTTCGAGCCGAGTGTCGGTAAAAGGGTGGAATATCCTCTTTTCGTCCCGCAAGAAATTCTCGTGTAAAACTGAAACGGAGCTTAACAAATTCATACTGTCACCTGTAAAGTCACCCTAGGCAGGTGCAGTTCTTGAGCTCTTGGTTGCAAATAATTCGTGACTTGATTCTCATGTTATTTTCAGACAAGTGAAGTTAAGTGGCTCATGAAAATAGAGCGTACTAGGAGCCTGTGTTAATGAGCTAGATCCTTTGGTGCAAATGAGATTTGGGGAACATTAAGTAGCTCTATAGCCATGCACACTTTTCAAATCTCTTATGAAGAACTGAAGATAGCACCAGTGGAAGAGTGGAACGTTATGTAAATGAAGAGTTGGACGATATGTTAATCTAAAAATTGACGTCATTATGTGCTGAATTTTTTTAAATTAAGACTGTTAACACGGTACCAACTCTCTTATTTTATACTTCTATTTACTGCTTGTAATTTTGTTTTGCACCCTTATAAAATTGTTTGGCTTCAAGCAATCTGCTGTGGTATAAAAGATATAAATGTTAATTTTTGGGAGACCTATATACATTAAAAACATCGTTTATAAAGGATGTTTTTATAAATTAATAACTTATTTAATAATTGTTTATATTTTTCTGAAAATTTTGTTGTAACTTAATATTACATTTTATTTAATAACTTTTCCTTTTTTGCATTTTTCAGCTGCTGGAATTGCATATGGTTATGAGGTCTGTAACTACTGAAGATGTGTGGACTGAGTACGTCACCAACATGTTAGCTTCAGATAATCGCCGAAATTTATACTTCAGAGCCGTTGGAGATGAGAGGAACAAAAGTGAATCTTTATTTTCATTTTTTTTCTTTATCTTATATTCTCTCCGTACATCAATCGCAATTTAATATTCTAGCTATACATTTAAACGAGCATACCTAAATGTAGAACAATGTATCCAGATATTTCCTAAATATTACTTCTTTTTGCACTAAATATATCCGAGATTTTTGCACTAAATATATCCGAGACAGATATCGCCAGGTATTTGTGATTTTTTTAGAATACCCTGTTTGGCGAAATTAGATGAAGAAAATACTTGCAATAAAATGCCTTCTTAAAAAGTACTTAGCGCAATAAATAACTTGGCATGAATGTAAACACAAATTGGATATTGGCATATCCTTTTTACGCTATTCAGAAATCAGAAATTACTGTGTATTGTCTAAAAATGAGAATTTCAGTCACATCACAGCCATGTTTTCAGCCCTGAAAGAAAACTATTCCATTTCGATTATCCTTCAAGGTCACTGATTAATTAATCACCTCATATCTGGAAATCGAAGATGTCGGTAATCACCGGTTTAATATACCGAAAAAATAGTTTTTTAAGAACAATAAAAGCAGATTCTAGAGAAAGAATTGTTGCCAATAAACTAGTCGAAAATACTTGTTTGTTTCAGTAACAAACTGGAATCATGTGATCATCGTTCAGCAGCAGAATGTAGGTTAAAAATAAATAAAACAGTTATGTTCAAGCACTACATTTGATAGTCTTATATAGAAATAATGCCGTCTACCACAAAAACTGCCATTGCGTTCCTTTTATTTTTAAAGCCTTAACGCAGCCCAATGTTATGCCCAGTGACTTCCGCAATTTGTGAAAACACTTTGAGCACACTGAACATATCGAAAAGACCTAGACAATGTTGACCAAGATCCTCTAAGACGACACGGGACTACAAGAGTTTCAAAGCTCTCACGTGAGCTGTATGCTGCCACTAGAACCCGAGTTTCACTATCTACAGTTGTCCGAAGGCTTCATGAGATGACCCGCTGTTTGCGTCCCGCTCGCTACAGCATAAAAGAGATCGCGTTTACAATGGTGCAGAAAACATGCTTCTTGGACCAGACTTCAATGGAACACCGTGTGTTTTACAGATGACTCGAGATTCAGCCTAAACACTCATTATCGGCGTACCTGCATCTGAAGAGGGTCTGGAACACGATAACATATCTCCCTCGAACAATGATTACAGTGGTGTTCGTGTAATGGTTAAGGAAGGCATTATGTTGGACGGCCGTACACCCTTGCATGTGTTTGACAAAGGCTTCCTGACTGCTATGAGGTATAGAGAGGAGAGCTTAGAGCCTAATATTCAAATTTTCAGGAGCGCAGTTTTTCCTGGGTTTTTCTTAATGAACGATAACGCTTGTCCACTTAGTGTTCAGCTGGTCGACGATTGCCTGAAAGGTGAGGATAATCGCCGCATGGACTGACCAGCCAGATCTCCTGACCTGAACTCTACAGAGCATATCTGGGAAACTCTTAGGAAGGCACTTCCATCTCATAATCCCCCTCCAAAGACCACACCGAAGTTTAAAACTGCCTTACTTTAGGAGTAGGCTCGACTGCCGCAGCGATTCCCAAACTGCCTCCTGTCCAGCATGCTGTCTTGTTTTGAGAAAGGATATACTAGACTTATTTTCATTTCGATGTAACAAAAGTGGATTTCGGACATGTCTGAACTATGAGCTTTGCTAATAATCACAGCATACACAAAATAGCATTTGAAAGGTGTATCTGTTTGTCTGTTATATGTAAATGTATATTCATACCAAATTTCATAAAAAATCTGTCCATTGAATTTTCATAAATTCGACACAATGCGCAAATACTATTTGGAACATAATGCGAATAAATTTAGTTTATAAAAATACGTTTAAACCTACTGTTTTGCAGATCAGTTAGAAATAAGAACCTGGAAAAGTTTTTTCGCGTATATATATATTAGTATTTATTCTCTTTTTTTTTTTTTTTTTTTTTTGTGGTGTGTGTGTGTGTGTTATAGCATCATAATAAAATAAAAATGCATTTCTTTCAGCTCTGACCATAGAAGGTGGTGGAGCAAATGCCACAGCTGTCATGGGGGATATAGGAGCAACAAATGGTATATTGAACATCATAGATCGCGTGTTAGGAATGCCCTATCTTACAGTATTCAACAAATTGGCACATGATCCAGATTTATAGTGAGTCTTGGAATTTCTGAATCCGATTATACTATTATTTTAAGCTCTTTCCGAGCAAATTTTCTTTAGATCTGTGCTACATTGCAAATACTCATCTTCGCTCGTCAAAGAGAACCACGACTTTTGTTACCAGAAATTCGCCTGTGGTAAACACAGAATTCCACAGATATGAGGCAAAATATATCAGCTCAACAATAAAAATTGATAGGTCTTCCTAAAGATTTGAAATTAAGTTGCATATGTAACAAATTTAAAATAATTTCTATTCTAAAGCATGTAATTAATTTTAGCTATTCGTATATGAAGGACTTTGAGTACCTCTTTTTAAATCAGAAAATTTAATCATAGACTGTTTGTAATGAAAACCCTACGTGCATTCATTTTTAATGTTTCTTATTAAAGTATAATCAATCTGCACCTGTAAAAGAAATCATATAACAAATCACTTGTTTATTTGCTATTAAAGGCATATGCTGTAAGTTCTCTGATACGGTCCAGAAATACTCAGCAAGCATATCTACATTCCATGTTCTAAAGAAAACCTCATTTCCAAAGGAAATAATATAGTAAAATCTGTAGCCATTGTTATCGCTTATCACATCAAGATTCATATCAAAGTCCTAGTATAAGTCTAGAAAATGTTAAAAAATCTGTCTATTTCTGCCTTCTGTACCTGATTCTATATTCTTGCCAGATACATTTGAACCACCCTGTATATCTTACTTTATTTTGCTTTTATGTGCTTTTAGTTTCATTGCGCTATAGTATGTTGTAAACTATGTGTAACTGCCTTTAATATTACTGTAACCTTATTTTTGTAGTATTTAAATTCTTAAACTATCATGCAGTTAATTCTTCGCATTTCTGTTACATCCTATAATACCTGTACACATTATCCTTATGCTTTCCACATTTACCATCTTTGTTATAATTATATATATTATTTAGCTATTCGGTTTGTTCTTTGTACATTTATTCTCATGCATTTACAACTTTTGCTATCTGTATAGATTCTTTCTATATATTACTTTTACACATAATATCTGTATTTCATTGTACTCTCTATATATTTTTAACACAATGCTCATTTTAAGTTTATACTTTATTCTATGAACTATAGTGTTATGCTTCAGTAGTAAGATTCAAAGCTGGCATTCTGTACACTACATTACTGAATTTGTACTTACAATTTTGTAATTTCTGTAACAGAGTACTATAAAATGTGCCATTTGCACAACATATTTCCCCTTTAGCAGGACCTCTTTTAAAATTTTGCACATTTTATACCTCCTAGAACAGAGTACTGATTTGATCGCCGGTATGGCATCTTAGTTCTATACAGCTGAATTTGGGCAGACGCTGTTTTGTTAAATATCTTTTATTTTTATGTAGCTTAACAGAAGCCTTAAATCTGCCTCAAAGCCTTAAATCTGTCATCTGCCATTGTGACAACAAATGACACTTCCATTTATAGCAAAAACGAGATAATCTTAAAGTCACTTTTTGTTTTATGATTAAAGCTTGTAGAATCATTAGGATTTTTTGAAGCAGGAGACGTAAAAAACGTGGAATGCCATCACCGGGACTCGAACTCTGAACCTCTAGAATACGCGTCGAGTATAGATAGTTCTTCTAGCTGAATCGTAACTGCAACAGTTTTCTTTGAAGAACTGAAACCTCGTAACTAACTTCTCGTTAATTCCCTGACCATGAAACAGAGCACGATTTGGTTCCCTGCCTAACCTCTAAAAGTGTGTTTTATGAGAATATTTAAAAATAGAAGTGGAAAGTTGCATTTTTGGAAATGTTCAATAAATTCTTTGTTCAAAGAAAGTAAAATAAAAGATTAATTTGTGCATTTGAAGGGCATTAAATCTGTTAAATAATAATCCCCACGTCTGAAAGTACTTCTCGAAATAGTTACTCAGAATGAAAAAGTATTATAAAACTCTTTCTGTAATTATACTCCTTTTATAATTCCCGTACATCTAAAAACTTTGCAATAGATGGCAGCAGCTTCTTCTTGTATGCTTTAAAGAAGGCTAGCGTTAAAAGAAGATTTAAATATATAGTGGTAATTTAAAACCACAAATGCAAAAAAAAAAAAAAAAAAAAAAAAAAAAGAAATTCTTAAAGGGGGGGTGGCCAAAGGAAAAGGAATGTAATTACATATTCATTCTTTCCATTAGCAAATGTTTCTAAACTATACTTTATTTTATATAATAGACTTCATACTATATAACGCTATTTCTTGTAAGAGCTATGTTTAACTACTAAATATCTAGACGACCCAAATATTTTAAGTTGTAGTTAGGAGTGAGAATATAATCTTAACACAGTGATATAAGAAAGAAAATGTGCCCATATAAAATAAATAAATAAATATAATGCATATAAAAATCAGTTTTCTTCCACTTTACTTACTGTTTGTTGAAAATACTGTTATATACGTATGTGAGTATTATACTCTATATATTTATGTGAGTATTTAATACTTTACATACACTAAATACACTTGCAGTGTCTCATTATTGTGTATAAAGCACATTATTTTATAATGTCATTATCCCTTTAAATAATGCTGGCTATCAAAACCTGAGATGTACTTTGATAAACATCTGAACACGATAGCGGAATCTTGAGAATTTAATTTAGTGAGATTTCAGTTATATAACTCATTATTCACTTATTTTATTAGTGTTTCGTGTGGTTACTTCCGTATTTTATTACATTTTTAACCCAATACATTTAATTTTATTTCTGCTTATGGGATTCTTGGGACTTAAGATAATTTTAAAAATCAATATTCAAATTTATTTTTTTAATTTCTAAATCGTTTCAATTTTAGTTTTTTCTCGGGGGGATTGTTTTAAGCCCTTTATTACATTATGCATCAAATTATGCATTATGCAACTTGCTATTTCATTATTCGGATTTTAATATATAACACTAGTTCGATTTATTGTAACAGATGCCTGCAAATAAAACTCTGAAATCTTTTCCATGTGGCTAAGAACATAAAAATAGAAAACTGGGTTCTTATTTTGTGAAAAATAATTTATAAATAAGGTTTAACTTCTTCCAACTCAATCTCCTTAACAAAATTACTCTTTGTAGTAATTTTAAATATTATGAGTAAAAATAGTATAATAATTTTTCAAATAGTCGTTGTTTCACGAATATGAGTTTAAAATACAGTTTTTTTTTTTTTTTTTTTTTTTTTTTTTTTTTTATCCTTCCCTTTCTTTCAGTACGACTTTTCGATTGAGCGCTCAAGATGCGTGGAATCAAAAATTGAACGATAAAGGAAAGAGTTATACGTTCTTTGTGCCCAACGAAAAGGCGTGGGAACTTCTCAAGTCAGAAATGCCTTCAGAACACAAGCAACTACACTTAGGACAATTCAGCTACCACGTTCATAAGGTTGACAATACAATACGTATTAATTTATATATGTATTTTAATGGCTCATTCTGTTTTCTCACAACACATTTTTTTATAAAAATTTTTGTGTATTAAAAAGCAGTGTTTTGTTTTTCACTATGTGTAGTTTTAATATGTAATCTGAATTAAACGTTCCAAAACAGCAAATTTTATGAAATAAAACTGGCAATAAATTCAAAAGTGTATTACTAAATCTTAGCGAAAATTTTTCAGGTGAATACAAATACTATTTAAAATGAAATGTCAGTGTGCTAGAGATATAAGTTATTATAAAATAAGTAACTTAATAAATTAAATGCAATAAATATGCATTTAATTTTTTTTATTTAGCAAATAATTTGCAATAATTTTGTATAAGAGAAACTTCTTGAAATTTTAACGTTAATTGTCATTTAAAATTTCATTGCTGTTTAAAGTTTACGATTCTACTGCCCATAAATTTTGGGTTAATAGCTTACTTTGCTACTTGGGTTAATAATTTGTTTAAGTAGCTTAATTTATTTCGCACATTTTTGGCTAAGATTTTCTTGCTTACGAAATTATTTTTAACGGTTGTTTAACATCACAAAATGTTTTATCAGAAAGTTATATTAATGCACTTTTTAACATTTTTTACATGCATAGTTTTGTACCTGTTCTTTAGAGATTGTGGAAAAGTTAATGGCTGGATGCAAGACGGATATAAATTCTACATTCAGACATTCAAATACTTTTATTCATAGGACAGCTAAAGCAGTTTTAAAAACTATAGAACCTAATTAGGGAGGATTTTTATAATAAATTAAGATAAGAATAATATGAAGATCGTGTAATTATGATTAATGAATGTTATCAAATGAAGCTGATCATAAGCCAAGAGGAAGTGAGGTACTTAAGATATTCAGACTTAACTTATTTATTAATAATTTGTTTTATAATATACCATATCAACGTCGCCTAATAATTTAATAAATGTGCGAAACGAAAACTTTTCATAAATTTTATTAGAATATTCACTATTGCAAACATTTTTATAATTCATACAGCACAAACTTTTAAGCTTCATTTATTTTATACTAATTAGTTCTGTTCCGTTTTGATGCCTATAGATTCCTTTTTTATATCGCACATGTTCTATCCAAGAATAAATGAGAACACAAAAATAAGTAGTTAAGTACTATACCAACAGCGCACTAGAAAGAGCGTGTGATTGGTAGTTGCTTGCCTTCCCCTCACCAGTTTAACATGCTTTCCATTGAATTATTTAATACGCTAATTTCTTAATACTGATTTTAGAATTATTTCTCTTTGTGATTTAAAAAAAGTTACCTTCTTTAGTAAGTCTCTATTAATTCAGTTTTCATTAAAAATAATTAATAATTCATTTGTTATTAAAACATCGTAATGCTCTCAAAAAGTACTCGGAATTACACTTTTAATTCTCATGTAGATATATATAGGATGCTCTTCTTAGACATGAAATAAAAAGTAGTATAGTATTACCTCTAACCATAATTAAACATTGATTCCGTACGCAAATTTCAGAGAAGACTTTTGTATATTTAATGCACTGCAATGTGGTTTGGTTTAAGGAAAGTAGGCAAGGGCCATCTGCCTAGAAGAAGGAATGCCTTTGTGGAGAATTTTCAAAGGGAAACTGGCTCGTATCCACTTAACACATGGGAAAGACGGCAAAACTTCCCATTTAGCCAGCCTATTCACCCGGTTCACCTGGAATCGAACCCAGGATGAACTACCCGCAATCGGCGATTTTATCGCTTAGCCGGTCGTTGGTCACTCCAACATGGAATTCATTGGCTGTGTGATAAATGTTCAGTCAGCATTATACCTTAATCTCCGAGTAGTGTCTTAATATTTATGCAGTACAGATTCTATCAAAAAGACTTGGCCTAGTCTATGTTATGCTTCCCCAACTTGAGCATCGGCTACCCCGGTAGATACAAACAAACTGCAAGCTATCCAAAATGAAGTGTTTCAGAATATCACTAATGTTTGCATTTTCATTTGAAATTCTTTGCTGCATACGGACTATTAAATGTCCCTTGGTTAGCAAGCACCTCAGAAACACTAACGAAATGTTCTTTGCTAAGGCAATTAACAACTGTACCGTAAATTTCTTATCAGTAGTCAATTATGTAGTAGTGGAAGATGATAAATGTATTAGACCAGCGGTTCTCAACCTTTTGACTAACGCGATCTAAACAAAAATTTGAAACCTTTAGTACCACCACTACAAAGTACTACTACCACCACCGCTCTTGAACAAAGCTCAGATTGCATAAATTTACGAGTGTTAGAGGAAAAAACTAAATCAGGATGTTGGAGTTTTAATTTTTGAATTTAATAGTTAAAAATACTTTGCTTCTTTGCGTACCACCGGTTGAGAAACCCTGTATTAGACCATTCGCTGCGCATAATTGGTAGTTTATATTACATACTTTCGACTGTTTCTATTCTTTTTCTATGGTTTGGTTTAGAATTTGTAATCATTAATACATTTAATTTGTTTAAATAAACAGGTTTTTGCTTTACCTTGTTTTACCTTACTTTCGTGTTATTATTTGTACAGTAATTTTAGTGTTTGAGAATTTAGTACTATGTGGAGAATTGTATATTTTGAATTTTTCATCAGCATACTCGTTTTGTACATAGTTTGATTTCACGACTTGATTCGCTCTGTTACTAGTGTGGTAGTTTACTCTTCTGTCATCCTTTTGTTTCATTTGTTTCATGTTTGCATGTATGAAGTATTAGCCCAGGAACTATCGTTCAAAGACATCATCGTATCGGCACTCAAACGACTCCACTCTTTTTCCACTCTTATTCTCTGCAGCATCCACCTCATCGAAATTCAAAGTCATGACATGTTAGGCAAATTTTTATTGAACGAGTGACCGCCCAGTCAGGTTGCACATGTGCGACATATTTATTCAAAAAACACTTCTGTCTTGCGCTCCGTTGTAAAGTACACATGGTCTATAACAAAGTTATGATGAAAAAAAGTTCGGGTCGAGTTAGGTCAGTACATCTCAATAACAGGTGATCATCTTCTGATCCATCGTTTAGTTAAATGACCATCCAAGAATGTAAGAATTTCGTTAGCAACGAGAAGATGATGTTTTGTACAATGGTTGCATCGTGAAATTAAGGTACAGAGTATTCTTGCAGCATGTTTCCATGTGTTAGGCTAACTACTTATGGCTTTTGCGAAACCTTATCTCAAGCCAACGCTGCATTTAACTAGGTTCATGTTCGATCAGAGTGTTTGGATTCTCAGATGAGAAATGTATGTCTGTTTATTTTTTTAGTTGAGTGTAATTTTGCGTCATCCAAAAGGCATGTTCAGTCTAGAAATGTACTTTTGGCATACATTTTGACGAAAAACGTGCTGTATTTTGGCAACGAAGTTTCTTTATGGCCTTTTGGGATTTAACTTGCTAATGCATGCAGCTGTATCTTAAGCGTATTATATAAACCAAAGTTTTATTGAATAATCTATGTACGTATTTAACTTTGTTGTAAGTAGGATTTATAACCTCCCACCAGCTTGATGGATAAATTTCTTTCGAATTCGCTGAACTGTTTCTCCGTTACGAACAGAATTCACTAAATGTTTTCCTCTGGTATCTTACGTTCGATATATTTGATAGATATTGGTACAAACATGCAGTTTCTTAGTTTCTTAGTCTATTTTATAACGGACTCCTAAGTCGAGACAACCGCAGGTGCTCAAAACCATCCTCTACAAAGCATCGTTTTCTTATGTAGCATCTGTACGATGAATGACTTCTATCAGTATTGCGAAACGGATAAGTAATTTCAGCTTATGCACGCTGACCTTATTAATATTAGCATTATCGCTCTTTACACTGGCTCACATTTCCTGTCATTAAAAACTACATTGCAAAACTGGTAGCAATAATAGGTATTTCAGTTTATGTACGCTGACCATATTAATTTCAACATTACTGCTCTTTATACTGACTCGCATAACTGCTAGCAAAAAGAACTGGCATAAACAGATTAGTATTTGAAGCTTAAAACGTAAAAAATCACCTGTGCATTTACGGAAATTCGAGTAATGGAACTTCTACTTGCTAGCTGAGCTTGCTAACCACTTACGGTACAAGATCGCGCACAGCTGACTGTGATAATACGTTACATTCTTCACAGCTTTAAGATTACTGCGGAAAACCAGGAGACCATGTAGATGAAATTTTCTCACTTGGTAACGAGTTATCATCCACCACCTTTGAGAGCGGGTTGCAACGCCTTCGCCGGGAATCGAACCACGGACTTCTCAATTACGCGCTGAGCGTGCGGACCACTACACCATGAAGGCTCGCTAAGAAGGCGGGAGAAATACCTTATAATAGCTATTAGGTACTTGGCAGTTTAGACGTCTTAACCACTTACTTCGCGAAATCGGGTAATGATATTACTCCTTACAAATAAAAGAACACTGCTATAGTTTTCAAGATAAAACTAAACCTTCTGCTTCAGTTGCAGATTTCAAATCTGAATATGGAATTCTTCATCTGAGGATATGACACGCATATAGTGAATGTACTTTTAATATTTGAAACTGAGGAAGACTGTGCATGAACTTCGAAATTATAATACTGCAACTTAATTTTACATTACTCCAATTTATTTGTTTTTTGGATGCTTCACATATTCTACAGTTTTACAATTCGTATGTTCGCATTCTACAATTTGCATGAATGGGTTTTTTCGTGGTTTTCCCCATGTGTAACGTGTATACGAGCCAGTTTCCCTTAGAAAGTCCTCCACGAAGGCATCCCTTCCCTTAGGCAGATAGCCCTCGAGGCTTTGCCGTAATTAAGTAAGCTAAGCTACAATTTGCATGTTCATTTGTAGCAAGTGCATTGCATGCTGTGAAATTACTTTACTTCTAGTTTTATCTAAACGCTATGTATTTAAGTCTTGTTTCGATTTTATAAAGTTTCTGCACGATTATGGGTATATTTGTATTACCTTCTTTACCCTTGTTTTTCAGGAATTGTAAAACCTCAGAGTCATCATCCATTTAAAAGAATTTATTTTTATAAAATGATATATAATAATATAAATTTTCCAGTATTGGAATATCGAAAAACGTTTCTACCATAGATATTAAAGAGAATCTTGGCTTAGATGATAGTACCAGCACTCTTGCTTTGATAAATATCTATAAGTATGTAACAAAAGAAACGATAAATGTTTTTAGGGAAAATCATTTATTCTTAGCACCTTATTATTAGGATTTCGTTTAATAATAATGAATTTTCAGCTTCATAAAATGGCTCTGAAGTACAATTTAAGAAATTTAGTTTATTTTTTTATCTCGAAATAAATCTGCCTTTAAGCGATGCATTTGTCGAGGTCTTGGGAAACTGGTTGATATGCACTTTAAAGAGAAAATGAAAAAAAAAAAAAAATATTCCTCAAGAACTGAAGTCGAGATAAATAATCAGTGTTTGTAGGTCTTGGCCATTGATGAATGGCAGCTTCAGCAAATAGAACGATTCAATACGTGTTGTTTTATCGTGAGTTATATTTATACGTATAAGTACTCGTATAAGTATTGCTTGACTGCGAATTTCTGTCATTCCCGTAATGGCCAACATAACTGTGAGCCAGGTTTCGTTAAGAAGTCTTTAAAATAGCATATCCCTAAAAATGAGAAACTTTTGTCTGCTTTGCCATAATTACGTGAAGAAATATACAATAATGTTTTTATCCTTATTATTTTAATAGAAATTTGTTTTATTCATTCATATTTGGGAATTATATCAATGCAGTTACTTTTCATAATGCACTTATTGAGTAGACCATTGTGAATCCTGTTTTCTTAACTTCGATTTTTGCTTCAGATTCTGGATCGCCATCTTGTTGTAGGAATGGAACTTACGAAAGAAGATTTAGAACGCCAAGATAAGATTCAAATGGTTCACGGAATGTTCAAAGTTTCACCTGGATATGGAAGTGGTTAGTGATTTTATTCCTTGATCCCCTTTCTTACAATATATTTTTAGAGTTTTTTTTTTTTCATTAAAATGCATATTTTGTAGGATTTTTTTTTTTTTTTTTTTTTTTTTTTTTTTTTTTTTTTTTTTTTGTTTCTTTGTTTTCTACAATAATTTTGGTATGCAAATTATTATATATATAGATTTTATTTGCTGATTGACTCTGAAAAAACAAAAGTTTATAACTCAAAAAGTAATAATCTGAATGAATATTGAATAGACAAGTAGAGATATATTTAGGGAAGTAGTAGAAAATTGCTTAAAATGCTGAGGATAGGTAATTTCAATTGAGAATTGTTCCCGAACAAGATGGTTTTCATGAATTTTCCTTAACGTTAGAATTTCTTTGAAAATATTTAACACTTTTTTATGTTTCGTAAATATATATCAAGATGATAAAGTAATTTATTTGGCCTATTTTAAATGATTTTTTGTTTAATATAACTGTGCATTCTCAGAATTATAGCTAGCGGTCATTATGGGTGTTTTTCTTCCCTGTTTTAGTAGAAGGTACTGTAGAGACATTAGGATTTTTTCGAAGCCAGAGAGATGAAAAATTAGCAACGCCTTCGCCGGTAATCGAAACGCTGACCTCTCAATTACGCGCTGAGCGTGCAGACGACTACACCACGAAGGCTCGCTAAAGGCGGGAAAAGTACCTTATAGGTTAATGCGGCATGGTATATCAGCCTCTTGACGCTATTTTTGGGGGTTTTTTTGTTTTCATGCCAGATATAGCAACTCGCTGGAACCGAAGTGAGACTTCCTAAAGTGGTAATGTCCCGACTGAGGTTCACTTTTCTTATTTATCTGAATTGTTTAGTAAGTTTGCCTTATTCTGTTCACACATTCATTTCACTTGCAAGTGTTCGGGGATTCTGACCACTTTTTTATATGTAAATTTTCCTCTATTAATAATGTGGCGTAGAACCATTGAAAGAAAATATCTCTCAAAAAAAGAAATGGTAAATGTATTAATGTAATGCAAGAATTATCCGATGACAATTCTGCTTCGTAAATTAGTTCCCATTAGAATCTAATACAGAAGTTTTTTTTTCTATTTCATCTGAAGAAGATTGGATTATTCCAACAACTAGCGAATGCGAATCTTCAAATGGCAGTTCTATTCTTTCAAAAAAGTGCCAAAACATTTCACCATCTGGTTCTGAGGAAGAACAAGGCATTCCTTTATCATTTCAACTTAGAATCGATTTCAAAAATAAAACAAATAAAATATGCGGAGGTCAAGAATCTAGCCTTGAAGAAGAGTTTAGTCAAGGAGAAGGAAGTGAAGTGATTCAAAGGGACGAAAACGACGTGGGACAAGCAGTACCCAATTAAGAAAGTGAAGACAAATTGAGTGTTTTGAAAATGAAAAAAATCAGCCAAAAGACTGAGAAGCAGTGAATGATGGTACAATGAGGGAAAAGGAAGTTTCTAGCATATTTCCACCTGGGAGACTTCTTGAAACAATAAATATTTTGGCTAAGAGAAACATAAATGATGGAATTACAAGTAGTGTATTCAGCGAAAAAAAGTTTGCGTCATGTACAGCAATGCACAGAACCCATGGTTCATCCAAAGTCGGGGAACCTGAATTAGAGCTTGTTATTTGCGGAGCTACACGCTTTTATTTGCTCTATTATATGCTAGCGACGATTTGGCTGTCAAAGAATTGTCTGTTTTGAGTGTAAAGCACAAATCTTGGGGCCCGGATTTAATCAGTAAAACAATACCCAAGGACAGATTCTTGGAAGCTATAAAGTATGTGAGCTTTGACTTGAAGTCAACTGGATCATAAAGATTACAAACGGATTTATTTACTCTTTTTTCATAGGTACGGAATACCTTTATTGAGAACTGTTTATTGTGTTACAAATCAGTCAGAAATGTTACAACTGGTGGACAGTTATTACCTACAAAGGCAAAATACCTCTTTATTCAGTATATGCTTCAAAACACCGATAAATTCTGGCTTTTATCTGATGTAAAATCAAAATGCTTAGCAAATCCATCATTCGGAAAAGATGAAGTATGTCAATTGAAGAAACTGTTGGGGAGCATCCCGTTTATTGGTGGGTTGAGCCCTTTTATAACACCAGAAGAAGTGTTACTACAGGACAATTTCTTTATCTGAATTTTATTAAAACAATTTGAAGAATAAAGGAGCTAACTATGTTGGTATAGCTAGTCAGGTAAAAAATGTTGTCCTCTTTTGTTGAAGAATGCGAAAGGCGAATTATATTCTAGTAAAGTTCTCAAAAGTGATAATATATTTGTCACGTCATATCAGAGAAAATAAACAAAAATATTCTTCTTGCGAGTTCACTTTACCCAACTCTGGGTCTTGCATCATATGAGGGGAAAAACACTCGAGATTTTTAGTTTTAAAATTCAACCAAATATGAAATATAAATTTGAGATCAAATGTCCTGGAACTATTCTGTTAAATTTTCAACATTACATTGTCTAGCACATGTGTTTTTCAATATGCTTGATTTATCGATGATAAATGTAGTAATCGTGTATAAGGAAACTGCTGGCAACGCACATCAGATATCATGATTTTATTTTAGTCGCGGCGGAACAGGCATGAGAAAATTATATTTCCTCAAAGAAGAACCTACTTACTGTTTTGAGAAGCTAAAGATATTCTTTCTGCAAATAAACATAAAGGATGTCAAATAAGCTAACGTAAGAAAATTAAATCTATAAATGTTTTTGCAAAGTGCAGTAAATTTATATGAAAGCCTTGCATAGGAAGAATTACTAAATTAATTATCTGTGTAAATTGCAATGACAAGTACTGTGAATAATTTGTTTCACCTTTAATATACATCACACACACTGGATTTTATTTTTAAAAAAATAAGAAACAATATTTTATTCTAGCATACCTAGACTGAGAAAATTTTGTGCATTGTAAGATTGATATCAATGAGTTGTATTGTAAAAGAGAAATTGCTGTGATGCAGCTCTACAAAATAAAATATAAATTAAATGTTTTAAATACATTTAACCCTGTAACAAAATTTAATTTAATAAACTAAATTATAGAATATTTTATGTTAAAAACTTCAAATATTGCTTTAATATATTCCATTAACTAAGTTTCGATTAAAATGACCGCACTTGGAGGCAAACCAAAAATGCCGTATTGCTAGTGTTAAATGGAAACTTCCCTAGACATGTGTGTAGCACCAAATTAAAGTAGCATTTCAAAGAAGGAATTATTTACGAGAAAGCAAAATTATTTATGATTTTCTGTCAGTGAAGAAGTATTTATCATAACAGTCGAAAGGAAGATCGCACGTTCATTGGACCTCGGTAAGTTAAATAAAACATTTGCTGCTTAGAAAGCAATAAATTTGGGTTTAAGTACGTAACTGTAAAAAAATTATCTAAAAAGGAAAGAAAACGGAGAAGATAAAAAGAATTATTTGATTTTATGTAAAAACAAATTCTGAGGACAAAAATAATGAGATTTTACGAAAAATGAAGAAAAGGTAATTTTATAAATAAATACAACTATGTACTTTTAAGCAAAAGTTTGCAATATAATGTGGTAAAAACCTAGAAAGAACTAGATTAAATGTGCTTTAAAATATAAACTACTGAGAACCAACTGATTTTCACGTGTTTTAAAATTTTACATATAGAAATTTTTCATTCTGCTATAATTTAAAATTTTGTGAAAACATGGCTAATTTGTTTTATGTATTTTACCGAAAATATTTATCTTCACTAATTACATTAATGTCGCATTACAGTTTTTTAATCTATTTGGCTATGGAAAACGGCGCTGTTTTAAAAATTGTTAGTACACAAAAATATTACATTTAGTTCCTATAATTTTTGTTTTTAAAGTATTATAACGAGTGGTGTTTCACTTATATAATAATCTGATCATGCCACAGAAAGAATACTTTCGAAGACCTACCTTTGAAATAATAAAGGTCTCATTAATTTTTAGAAGTCAAACAACAAAAATCAGCCTTATATTTGCAATGAGTCTTTTATTCTCTTATCAATAAAATTCCGAGTTCCATACACAAAGACCACATTCCGAATATGAATTCCTGGGGTATTTACAGGATGCCTTTCCAATGTGGTTTAATTTACATTGGTCAAACTAAGATAGCCTTAAAATTTCGCGTTAAGGTACATGAGGCATATGTTAGAAAAAAAGAAATACAGAAGTAATTTGTTGCCCAGCATTGATGGCCCGAAAATCACACTTTCAATTTTTCTGCAGCCAAAATTATTCAAAAAGCATCTTCCATTGGTGAATTAGATTTTCTAGAGGCGTTTTCACATTCAAAAAAAATCCTTCAGTTCTAGTTAACAACCCTAATTCCAATCCATCTTTGCCTTTAAGAAAATTATGTTTTAGTTCTGGTTTCATCAATAGATGGCGCTAGTAGCTTAACTCCTGTCCAGCCATTCTTATCTTATCTAATTACTATATCTTATTTCGTTTACTCGCGCTTTGGCAGCTGAGGCTAATTGTTCGGTAAAACCATCGAAACTAGTCCTGTTAAAATTTGCAAATATAATGCTGATTTTTGCTGCTTGACTTCTAAATTAATACTAGTTCGGCGTGTTATTTTATCTTAATTAAAGGTCTCATTGTTAGCATTTAACTTTTGCCGTAACTTCGATTATAATAAATTCTGATTAAGAAAATTTAATAAAAGTAATCGCCTATCATTTTAATATTTAGTTTGTGAAATTGAAATATTCGACAAGTGTATATCATCATCAAGTGCTTAATAAAATGAAATCCACAATATCTGGTTGAAAGAAATCACGTGCCTGTGACGAGAAGTTGTTGTCACGTATATGCTAGGACTTCTTGACCATCAGGGAATACTTTTGTGACTCAAGAGTCAAGAGTGCGAAAGAAATGATAGTTAATGGGAGATGAGGTCATGACTGTATGTCTGGTGAAAATGGATTATTTCACACTGCAAATGTCTAAGAGTTTGTTCATTCTTTTATGCGATATGTGAGCGGACATCATCACTTTTGATTGTTTTAGGATGAATTGATATTGTATTCATGCCGTTTAGTACTATAACGATCTCCAATAATTCAACCCTGACAGAGGAAAATTCGCTGAATCATTTCAACAGTGAAGCACAATAAAAAAGGGCAGCATCTTTTAAAAAGACAAGAAGGATTTTTTTAAATTTTTATTTTATTTGTTTCTTAGTTTTTTAATTTAATTTTTTTAAATCAAGTTTGGTCATCATTCACAATTCATTCATTTGCTGATGGTGTACGATTGTTTACGATCTCTACCCTATTTTCATCATGCGGCAATCTAATGCAAATACTTTCCCATTTAATTTTCAGACAAAGTGAATTACGAATTTCCAGACGGTATGCCTTCTTGATTGAGTTCAGCTCATTCCATACTCAGTTGTCCGCCCTTTTCACGATACCGATAGCACAGAGGCACCAAAAATGTGTAGTTTAATGCATAACAAATTTCTCTACAGTAAAACAAACAAAATTTGCTCTGAATTAGCTATGACGGTATTCTTTAGACGTCTATCTGAACCTAGTATGGGTTGCTGGCTATGATTCTCATTTTCAAGGATTTTATCACCACTGTGACATATCGCCACCAACATATAGTGCGTTCATTAGCCGTACCGGTTTTAAATGTGACGATAACGCTCTGTGCCACAAGTCCTGGAGAATGTCCCAGTTTAAACTAATATAATAAAAGTACTCATAATTGGGTGTTCTCTGTAGTTCAGTTTGACAAGGCTTTCCTCAACAGCGTTACCTCTACAGGTAGTTTTGGTACCGTACCCTGTCCTGTGGACTTTGCATTCCTATTTTACATAAGCGCACATGACTTCAGTGATTCAGTCGGTTTCCGGCCCGGAATGTATTTTATTTTGTAACATATGTAATAATGTCTGAAGGGTTGATTCGCCGTTCAAATGGTAATTTAAACTTGAGTTATAATACTGAATTAAACTTGAACTAAATAATTCCTTAAAATGCTTTAGTTAAATTTCGTCTTCTTTTACTTTCCCTTTACGGGTACTAAAAATATTTCTTTTGTCTAAAAAACTTTATTTTATAATTTTAATATATGTATCGTAATAAGCACTGTAAGCGAAATTTTCCCTTGATTGTCATATATCAAAAATTGCATGCACTTACAGACATTATTAATTATATTTCAGGTCCTTTGAGAGTTGAATGGGAAGGTCGGCCTGCCAATATTGTCCGTCCTGATGTCCAAGCCACGAATGGTATCATTCACGTAATTGATCGTGTTATGATGAAACGGAGAGATCTCACCAAATCTGGATCAATATGTTGGTTTCCTCGTCTTTTTTCCTTAGCCTTATCCTTTCTTTTTGTTCTGATTACAGACATTCCTTAATTTCGAAAACTCGAAGTAAATAAAGAAATCCAAAGAAAACATGGGAATGAAAAAATAATACAAGATTATTGTTTCATGTTTTAGAAGTTGCAAGCCTTTTATTTCTTCTGTTGATACATAACTTTTACGCTACAAATGGTAACTTTTCTAGTGATCAATTTTTTAATCTGTTATTAGACATGATTTTATTAAGCACACGGAGTTAAGTTCATTAAAGTTGAATGAGGAGAATGCAATTTTAGGAATTAACAAAATTTTCTTCCAAAAAAATAAACTACAAAGTATGTTTTTCTTTTCAATGGCACTGTTTTCACAAGAATATTGAATAGAATTTTGGATAATTATGGATCTTAACACATAATAGAAGGTCTGCAGCATGTACTGAAGCAAATTTGTGTGCCAGCTAGTTCTTGTATTTTGGTAGCTAGAAGAGGCTTCTCCTTTCCCCACCCTCAGATGGAGATTGAAAAAGTTTCTTAAAACATTGCCATACATTTTATTTTAGAAAAGTGAGCTTTCCGAAGAAATGACATCAGAAAAGAAGCTTTGTTTAAAAAGTAGTGAATTCTAGGAACAAAATGCTGACCTTTCAAAGAAGGAGTGTGATATGCTGTACGAGAGAGAAATCTAAGTCCTTGACTGAAACAAGATATAAGTCGTGGATCTCTAATGTTACACTGAACTAATACTAACAATCCAATTTCCAATTTAATAATCTCTACCGTTTTTTTGTACATAATGAATACATTCAGTTTGTTTCATATTGGAATATTCGAACGTAATTATAAGCTCAATATCGAATACTATATTTCTTTGCATATATAAATTTCTGAAGTGTTCTGTGTATTCATAGGTCATTTCATTCCATCAGTGACGTCGCACTCGGGTGTATGTACATAAATACATACATATATACATACATATATATGTGTATATACATATACATATATTCGTATGTTATAGAGCCCCAGATACCAGTTTCAGCTAATTATTATTCAGGGTTAAATTAGTTAGGGGCATTTCGTGTTAGTTTGTAACATATCCATAATGAAACAAAATCATAAAAACTGTAGATAGATTTTTTATTGCAAACTTTAGTTCAACCTGAAAAATTATTTTATTTAAGTTTCTAAAAAACTAGAAATAAATTTGTTTCTAGCGCGGAGATATTTCCATACATGTCTTTTGTATGAGGAAGTTATTTTTATTAATTTTTCCCTTCATAGTGTACTAAATAAAAGATAAGTATATATCTTATACTTTAATAATATCTTATTTGGTTTCCTTAGTATAAGCTAAGACCTTTTTGCAAATATTATAAACTACATTTTTTTCATTTAGTTTGCCTTACGATTTATGCCTGAAATGTATTTTTAAACATTTTCTTAATGTTGTAGAAGAAGTAATTATAGTATATGGAAATTTCTGAACGTTAAATTACGATGGTTCATATCACTAATTCAGGAAAATACAAAATTAATTAATGTAATAGTTTTATATCATCTTTTGCTAATAATAAATTTTCCAGTTATTACACAGTGCAGATATATTTTAATAGCTGGAAAGAAAAAGAGAATAATATATATTACAGTTATTGTAATTATTATCTGAGTCTTAGTTCCTTGACTGAAAAAGGTACTTTTCTTTTTGATACAGGCTTACTTTCATATAAGCCGAAATCAGTAATCTCTGTTATAGAATATCAGCCAGATCTCTGATGTAATATAATTTTATTGGACTTCAGTTCCACCAATACCTTTTGATTCATAAACCCTTTTGTTGCAGCAGAAGAAATATCTTTGCACAGAAACTGCTTTTAGCACGTTGCTATGCAAAACCTCAAAGTTGAATGCCTCTTCCAGTTCACAAATTATTGAAACAAATCTCAGTGCATAATTATAATATTTTTTGTATCATACGAAATTTTAATGCATGTAAACATGTTTCACTTACAAATAAGTACTGTTTGTAATTTTTATAACGTCTCGTTTTATCCTAAGAAGCTTCAATATGACATTTTCAGTGTAACTTTTAGGTGTTTCTAACTTTAGAAGACTTTAATGAATTATTGCTATATATTAATGATAATACTCAGAACAGCGATGGATTTGTTTTTACCTTTTGCATTCAGAAAAAAAGTAATAGTTTTCTTCGCAATAATATTATCTGCTATTATTTTCAGCAGAGACAAAATATTGGTTTTAAAGTAAATTGCCAAAATCTTATTAAATAGTAAACTGCCAAAATGTGTTGCCCAAATGTATAAACAAAATACTCATTCTCTTTCTATACCATATTTTCTGTTTTTAGTTGCACAACTTTTATATTTTGCGGACAAAAATAAGGCATATACATCTATATGCTGTATTCTTATATAAGCTAAATAATAGTAAAAATAATAGGTTTTAGTTCATAGAATATTTTGTATTTTATATGGTATATTGCATAGCTTATAATGCATAGCATACTTTCATAGCTTATAGAGATTACTAAAGTGGGGCATGGTTAACCTACTTCAATAGCTGTAACACAAATCCATATTTGTTCCACTTTCCATATTTATATTATTTGACCAATGAAGTCACATCTAAATCCATCGCTGCTGTGAAATGCTTCCCTGTTTGTATTCTGTAATTCAATGCAGACTAAATTTCATAATGAAGAGTAAAGGCTGATTATTCCTTGCTCACCTATCAGATATACAAATGTATATCTTACTTGTGAATATAAATTATTATTTGAATGGTTGAGCGTGCTTAAATCTGTGTAATCATAAACAACTTACATGTTTGTATATAATCAAAAATACTGTTAAAAGGGAAAAAATGTAAACTTTAATTTTCGGTTTTTCGTTACTGTGCTGTTATTTTTTAACATATTTTAATCTTACAATTTCATTTCATAATATGCTGCTGCAAATATTAGTTCCAAGAAAGAGTAAATCAAGGTAAAGAGAATTTGTGGAATTCATGGTGTCAGTTCTATATCTCAAACTTTAATTAATGAATTTTTAATAAAAATTGTTGTCGAATAGTACATATTTTCAACATAGTTACCCCTTTAAATCTCTGGTTTCTCAAACTTCAGTTCAATGGATGAAAAATTACTCATTATATTCTGAGCTTCATTAACATTGTTATCAAAATGAGAAATATTTTGATTAGGATTGATGTAACATTTTTTTCTTTCAAACAGTTGTTGTCATAAAAATCTATTGTTCAAATATTCTTCGTTTACAAAATCATGTTTGTCTTTATCTAGTAGCAGATCTGTACAGTGAAATATGTGTTGTGTATATTTGATATTATCTTCTATTTTATTGCTACAGTGTTACTGTTAAAGTATAAGAGACTATGTTGTAACAAATTTTGGCGTCTGATAAAATCCGTATTGCTCTGTATTCAAAGCTATAGACTGAAATGCTTAAAACATGTTTTTTAACATGTGAATAAGAAATTCATGAAGAAATTAAACGTTGTTTCTTGTACTTTGTATTTTTTTATAACACGTCTAGATCTACTGTAAGTTTGCCTTTCCAATTGTACTTATTAAACGTACGTGTGTTTTTATCCAAAGAGTGAAAGGTCCGGCCTGAGGTCTCTGATATTTCGGAATCAAGGCATACTACAGGCATTTCCCGCTTTTCGATGCTTCATTTTTGCGATATTTTATATTTATATTAAAAACACATATATTGTGCATGTAATGCTTATTTCGCCCTTTACTTTATAATTTGTGAATATTAATACAGACAATTTAGTTTACGGTGCTTTTGCACTTATGAGGTATGTTATTTAAGATTATCACACTTTCAGATGTTTGCGTTTTTAGCAACCAAAAATCCATTTACAAACAAAAAAGACCTACTAGGACTGATTTAAATTATTTCCTGTTTTCCAGAATACTTTCGTTTCTAACGTGTCGAATAATCGGGGGAAGTCTGTAGAAAACTGCATAAAAACTTTTGTCCTTGATATTAAAAATACTGCTTACTTTTCTAAAGCTTGATTTAAAATCCTTGAATAGCAAGTACCTTTACGAAAATATATTGCATTTTTAACACAAATATATCCGAAGCAAATTTAGTGTACTCAAAATCTTTCTTGTGTTATTAAACTTTAAAAACGAATAATAAAGGTTTATTCGCCATTCTAATACAGAAATGCATTATACTTGATCTTTTCTAAATATTTCGGCCGGGCCTGTAACCTAAGCATCCTAAATTTGATTATTAATGCTCTAGTCTTAAAACCTTGTCATCCTATTGTAGAAGCATAAATTCCGTGTAATAACGGTGTCTTCGAATCGCAATTAAAATTACAGATTTTTTTTAATAATTGGTTCAACCTAACATGCATTAAAGATATGAATGAGATGTCTGGGGTCAAAGGAAGCTAAACATCCTGCTCTTTATCATATTTATACATTTCTGTAAATTACAAATGTGCTCAAGGTTGCAGTTGCTTCACATACTGATTAGTTGTAACTTCAAAGTTGCATCATTAATCATTGTACAACACTTTTTGAAATTGTTAAATATATTCTAATGCTCTATAAATGAAATTTGTTTCGAACTAAGAAAAAAGAATAAATAAAGAAATATTTAAACTCATTTTGTCGGTACGTACTACAGCGTACGTATTCAGGACATACTTCAACTATTCTCTTAGATTGGTCTAATACTAAATACGTTACACGTGAACAAATCTTAACACGAAAGTTTTGACAATTTCTAGCTCATGAATTTAATTTCATCATTTCAAAAGAATTTTTAAAAACAAAAGCCTTTCATAATTGTTGATATAATGTTACTATATGAGGGCAGGTTTTAGTACAAAAATTGCTATTCTTTTCCAAATATTTTAAACAAAACATACTTTCCTATACTTTTAATCCTTAAGCTTTTATAATAGATTTGCATTTGTAAACTTTTTACTGCGTTTACAGATACTAGGTAATTTATAAAAAAAAGGCCATTTTACTGCGCATGTCGTACGTTAGAAAGTCAACAACAATTTTATGTTTAAAATGTTTTATGATAAAAATTTACTAATTATCATTCTTTTAATTTCAGAATTAGTACTGTTTATTATACTGTTGAATATTGCTGGTTATATGCTTAAAGCTAATCGTTTTTACTCATTTGTGAGTTTGCTTAAATGCACACAAATATGATAGCACATGGTGATCAATAAAGTGAAGGATGTTTAGCAGAACTGTTTCCCCTTTTACCTCTTTGCACATTATGACAATCTGTGGTCTTTGTTTGCTTCTGTACTGATGCATGTTAAGAGGTAAGTCTCTGAACCCGTTGCAGTTAGAATGTAATTGAAGAATTATAGAGCTCACCTTGTATTTACTGTGTTACAGACATATACAGTTATAAACCAAGATGCCTTCTCAGACACGCATTACTATTTCCTAGTTGCTGAAATATGTTTCAGGTACTTGTTGTAGCTTTCCAAAAATATTTGAAGCTTTTAATATCACTTGAGACAAACACTTTCTTATGTGTTTGTTTATAACGAGTAGTTGGGCCATGTTGATCTTGATACTTGAAAACTGTTCATCATATTTGTGTCCATGAAGTAATTATAATGTCATATATGGGATTTCCACATTTCCCAGTCTGTATACGACTTTCCAGTAATGTGCAGCTGAACATGTATAAAATTAATTTATTAGTGTTTTGAATTTCGCACCATTACGAAAACTGTACCTAAAATAGAATAAAACGATTCTTGTAAAATCATTGATTTGAAAATTAATTGTTCGTTTCTTTCTTTCAATTTTAGTTTGATACATAACTGGAAGAAATATACTTTTGTATATTATTCTGTGTACTTCTTTTGTATATTGATGTATTACAAAAATAAGAGCTCAGTTTTTTTAATGTACTTGAGATTAGTAAATTTGTAAAACAGGTATCATTTTTTTAATTATGAATTTAAATATCGAAGAAAACGCGTTTGGATTATTTTTTCTCTTTTTTTAAATTAATGGCAGTAAAATATTTTGAATAACATTTTCAGAACCCATTTATTATATTATACGCATGACTTGAGTTTCAGGTTATACGAATTAGAATAATGTAGGATTTTATAAATTATTGATAAAGAAGGCCTTCCTAATATGTAAATTTAGATTAAAAAATATATATATATAAGAATCTAATCATCTAGAAATCCATAATAGGGAAAAAATAGCTGCTAATATCTACACATAGGCAGAGTATAATAAAACTATAAAAAATAACAAAATTTTGTGACTCTCAAAATTTTCAAAATGCAGATTTGAAAATTCGCTTAGCTGATAGATTCACTCAACGAAAATATAAAATAATGAACAAAGAGATAATAATCGAAGGAAATATATTTTTGTCGCTAATACATAGTAATTTTTTTTTCGAACGGCGGGAACTTGCCCATAACGGCATTGGCCATTACGAAGGCCAGAACTGTTGGCCATTTTATTATGTAGGCACCCATTAGGCGGTCACCGTTACCTCCTATGAAGGGACAGACAATTTTACATCCCTGCCTTCTCCGAGACTCGAAACCTGGGACCTTTGGTATCGCAGTCACTATACCGTCTGGCTGGCATACATATTAACTTAAAACGGAAGATGTAAAGTGAATACGAGCAAGTTTCCGTTGTAAAGTCCTCCACGAACGCATTTTCCTCCTTACAAGAAAGATCTTCCAACCTTGAACTCTACATTTTTTTGAAAAAAGTACATGTGCGTATGAATTTAGTCATCTAGAAATACATTACAGTAAAAACATTAGCTGCTAATATTCTATAGATAAGCAATTAAAAAACTGTAATAAAATCTTGCAATTCAATGTTATTTAATAACTTCGAAAATTTTCAAAATCGAGGTTTGAAAATTTGGAAAGTCACCAAACTGATCAATTCACTCCACGAAATTATGAAATAATGAAAGAAGAGAGGAAAATCGAAAATAACGTATTTTCGTTGTCAGTACAGAATAACTTTATCAGGACTACTGTTCCTTCTAGTTGCCTTTGGAAACATTATTGGAGTCCTGAGTAGGAATGGGAAGCTTATTCAAAACTATGTTCTTGCGAGGGGGGCTAGAAGATACAACAAAGATGAGAAGGGTTAAATTTACCCTTTATTTCTCACAGCGTAGAGCCATTCCCGCACTTCGAGATACAGAGACAAGCACTTATGGTCTAAAACGTATAAAATAAGAAATAAACTAACTGAACTAAATAAAAACTAAACTTAGATGCTTTGCAGAGAGTAGTAACGCGAAGATTGGCCTTTTAACATTATGTATGTAGTGAGCGGAATGAAAAAAACTACAATACGTCTTCAAATATCAGCGAGAACTAAGTTCTGGCCTTAAAGGCAGACATAAGCTGACTAAAAAGCACGCGCGTGGAAAGGCAGCGAGAAGTCTCTTTCTTCTCATACGTTATTAATTTTAGTGTAGTACAAACAGTATATACTTTACGTGATAATAAATAAGCTGATTATGGTTTGGAAGTCTAGTATAGATGAAGCGCAGTAAAAAATCATCAAAGTAATGACTTGTTTTTTCTCTAGGTGCAATTAGTGAACTGAATCGGATGATAAATTTTTCAAAATTTCAAGGCCACCAAAGGCGAAGAGATAAAACTATTAAACGCTATTAGTGGGGTATGGATTCAAATTACGAAGAAAAAACTGGCACATTTGAAGTTTTTTTGTTTTTTCACATGGCGAATAGTTTCGTCGAAATAATTGCGAACTCAATTTCAGTGTATGGCCTGACTCATTTTCAGAACCATCGTCTTCAGATGATCAGGCGATAATTTTTTTCCTTTACTTATTCAACCGTAACTTCCATTAGAATTCTGTAGTCTTTCAAAATCTCAGAAATCAGATTTTTCACTCTGATAGAATTTTGGGTAAAATTTGCTGATTTGAAATGCTTGTACTTCCGTATTAACCTGTCGATCATGAAAGTTGGCTAAAATGAAGCAAAGAATGTCTGCAGAGATTACGGCAAAGTTGTGCCAAACGTTCTTCCGGAATTCCTAAGGAACTGACGTCTCTTTATTTAGTAAATAATCACAACAAATCGTTCCTCGATCGCAACAATTTTCTCAACTTCAGAGAACCAACATTTCCCTCCAGGCTTCTTATGAAGTCTAACATACACTCAACCTACTAGAGCCATGCAATAAAAAGATAGATTTACATCATTAAAGCGAAAGGGATTAGGACCGTTGAACAGCATCCAAAAGAGAACTTTCTACACGCTTATACAGATTATTCATCTTATAAGATAATCACTAATGGAGGTTCTGAAGTATTTCTGAATACCCCTGGTAATACTACTTATCAACAAAAAATTAGTGCTGGAACCATAGTCTATAACTTCACTTGCCAGCTTCTGGCAATAGCGTAGGCACTTAACATGTATTCCGTTTTTGAGCAAGCAAAAGGACTCGTTGTCTTCTATGGCTCAAAGGCAGCTTGACAGGCAATCCTTGATGTAAGATCCCTGATCACCAACGGGATCCACCTTCGCCTAAACGAGTTTCAAAAGTTAGATATTGTCTGTATTCTTCAATGGTTGCCAGCGCATGCCAACATCGCAAGTAACGACAACTCAGATAAACTGGCAAAAGAGGCTCGAAATATCAACAATAATAATAACGTAAATGTCACCGTCTAGGACGAATACAGATTGAAGTAATACCAAATACAAGTTGAAGTAACCATAGCCAAATACAGATTGAAATAACATTCAATTCCAACAAAGCATCAGCTCCATAACATCAGTAGAAATCGACATATAATTAAAACTTAAGTCAGGCTTAAAACTGGTCATCGTAGAGAATTGAAAACTGAGAAGAGGGTAGGAAAACCTATCGAAACTGTGATAACTACCCGGGCAACAGATCTGACAACTGTAGACATATTTTATTGTTCCGCCATCCTTGCTTGAATTGTTAAAAATTGGGGTCTTGGTTAAGAGACTGAACCTCTACGTTAATAACATTTTTCAGATTGCCAGGGCTGTCATCTTCGCCCATGGCACTATTTGAATAGGCCTTTATCATAGACACGACAACAACAAGAACAGTATTCAGACATACTTCGTTTTTGCGCTTCGTGAAAAGGCTTCAAAGATTTCTGCAGTTTTTCAAATCTCGCGATTTAGCTGGATGCTCTGTTTAGAATGCTGAATGCAAACTTCCGGCAGGTAAGTGTTTCAGTCTATTACTGTTTTGTCGGCCATATTCAGCTGACCATATCCGGTCCGTTAGCACATACTTTTCTTGATGGTAGGATCCCATAACTTTGACAATAATCCAATGCTTTCTCTTTTGTAGGAGGCAGGTCCTAAATTTTAATATTAGTTTTCAGACTGGAAGAAAAAAAATACAGCAACAACGGTTAGTTATATCCTTCTTCAAAAAGCAACATGGCTTATCGAGATTGAATAAGAATTCCGTCAAACAAAAGCACAGATGTTATTAGTGTGTTGTCACGTCAGGCTTATCCATAATTGGCGCTAAACTGCGCTGGCTGGAGACTGTTTTGCTCTTGACGGTAAGTACCAAATATTGCAGTTGACAGTAAGTATCGAAATGCCTGCCGTATGATTTTGAAACAACCTCCAGTTCACATTGTATGTATTCATTTGACCAATCTTCTAATGAATAAGTAATAAAGTTATCTGCTTATCATAAATAAGTTGTTCGCTGCTTGCAAAAATAGAAACATCTATCTTTCCCTCCGAAACAAAAGGTAGGAATTTGCATTTAAGTGAGCATATATACGTATATATAGGTATAGGTAGGAGTATAGGGACCCCCAGTTATTAAAATAAATGATGAAACAGGTATTGTCCCTATAAACTAACCTAATTAGAAACGCCAGCGCCCACAACGTACCAGACAATATCTAGAGTCCGCAAAGTATAAATACTTCATTCATTCCACACAGCTGGCCCTGCCACAGGTAGCGGTTCGTTTGGAATACCGGAGAAATTAATTTCTTGATTTTTATAACAGACATAGGATAGAAGTTGATTTTATATCTTTTTTTTTTTTTTTTTAAATGTAGAATCAACTGTATTTTCACTTCAAATCCAGTTAAACTTCAAGTAGGTTCATTGCATTTTCTTTGAAAACTGACTAAGCGTCTACGATGAAACATAGAAATTATTGAAAGTACAACAATACAAATAAAATTGAAATTTCTTTTGCTCTATGATAAAAAGTAATTACTAAATCAGTGGGAATCGGAAATTTGAGAAATCTACTATATTTATCGATACAGCGCTGATTTGGAGATTTCAACAAATTTCAAAATTTCGCCATAAAGTACATTATTGACGATCAATTTTATAGGAAAATTCGCTATTGACCGTCAAAAACTCCGTTTTTAACAACTCTTTTCTGATTATCTGTAGAATACAAGCAACGGTTGTTTACTGTTACGTATTTTAGATTACTTAGTAACAGTGTTTCTCACATGAATTTCATTGTAATTGTTGCGGAACTGCCTGGGGAGAAGAATAGAGTCTTGGCTTTGATTAGTTCATTGTCTCGATTTTCTGTGCTTGGCGAAGAACAATGACAAATACCATTGACTTCACTTTGCAGAAGAGGAAGGTGACAAGTATGTGGATACATGAACAGAAGCACAACGACCAAACTATGACACAGGTGATGGGTAGGTTTCGTGAACGGTCGTCCGTCAATCCAAAGTGAAACGTGTGCTGAAGTTAGCGCGTCA